TACTCTAGTATTGTTTCCATGGGCTCTTGCTTGAAGTTTGGAAAACTTCCCTATCCTACATATTCTAAAAGTAGATGGCAATGTTTTCCTCACATAGGCCAAAAGGGCACTTTCCCATATAAGAAAGTACATTGCACTGAAATGCCTAACTCAAGCATTTAACAAATTTCCGTGGTAAGGTCTGGGTTGATCTCATTTTGGAACAATGACAAATTGAATTCTTTCCCATCTCTAAGACCTTGCATATTTATTTCTGTGACTTTATGCAAAATATGGGAGACTTAAACACATATGAGATTACTCCTTTTTTCATACTTGGTTAACTGTTTTCTTCATTTTGAGGCCCTTTGACCTCCATTCTCTTTTCCAGGAAACTCATTTTCCCCCTCCTTCAACTAAATCTAAGTATCTGTTGAACTCAATTGCTTCACTAATGGGCAAAAAAAAATGTATTTTGTTAGCTGTGTCATAAAAGGGTCATTTTTAATAGCATGAGCACATTCTTGCAAACCACAGACTTGCAAAATTCTTGAGACATTGAAATTGGGGTGAGGGAGAGAATAGGGGAATTGCAAAACTGAATTTATTACATTTTATAGCAGTAGGCTGGTCAGAAAAGAAAATCTAACAAGCTCTTTTGGGGATAGAATGAAAGGACTAGGATTTAAGTCTGTAAAGATAGATTTAAGTGAGAAGATTGGATAGCCCATAAATATGGGTTTAATCACCATAAACTGTACCAAAATAGAAGTGGAAGTTGTTGTTTATGATATAAGGAGTTTTAAGATCAGTAGCATTTCTAGAACTATATCCGAACCAATTTGGATTTGACCAAAGATTACTTATAGGAATATTCATTACAGCATTGTTTGTTTATACTAGCAAAAGTCTGGAAACAATCAGAATATTCACTTGAGATTGGTTAAATGTTGTTCCATCAATAGGGTACATGTTTAACATACAGACATTAAAAATTATGTCTTAGAAGATTATTTAGGCTGGGTGAGAGGTGGCTCACAACTGTAATCCTAGCACTGTGGGAGGCCAAGGCAGAAGGATTGCTTGAGGCCAGGAGTTTGAGACCAGCCTGAACAAAGTGAGACCCTGTCTTTACAAAAAAGAAAACTTATCTGGTCATGGTTGTACACACCTGTAGTCTCAGCTACTTGGGAGGCTGGGCAGGAGGATCACTTGAGCCCAGGAGTTTGAGGTTACAGTGAGCTATGATGATGATGCCACTGCACTCTAGCCGGGGTGACAGAGTGAGACCCTGTCTCAAAAAAAAAAAAAAAAGAAAAAAAGATTGTTTAGTTAGACATGGAAATATGTCTCCAACCACTAAGTGAAAAAAACAGGTCTCAAAACAGGATGTACACTATAACCCCATTTTGCAAACTTTAAGGAATAAAATTAAATATATGTATACACATGTATATTGATATATATACACACATATCTACATATGCACATAAAAACTTGACATTTATGTAGCAAAATATTAACATTTGTTCATTATCTCTAAGAGATTTTTTTGTCTTTTTCTGATTTATCTAAATTTTCTAATTTTTTCAAATAAACATTTGTCACTTTTCTAAGGAAAAGAACAGTAAACATTTTATATGTATATATCATTTTTAAAAGAGCATTGGGTAGTAAACGCAGAATTTATCAGTCTTCAGAATCTTCAAGCCATATGAGTCAAAAGAAGAAATAAGTTCAAAGAAGGAAATTAATTGAAATAAATATATGGTTAATGATTCCATAAAAAAAGAAATGTTTGCAGAAGGTCTCAAATGTGTTTGAAGTTGCTACCATAGATCCCCCTATCCACTTTCACAAAACCCCATGAATAATGCAGAGGGGGAGAACACAGCTTGAGAAAAGAAAGGGACATAGAAATTGCTGTCACTGTCAAAGACTAGAAAACAGGCTGAATGGATTATTACTCTGACCCAACTGTACATGTGTAATGTCTTCATGTTTTCAATCACTCCGTTAACTCACTTATCTGATACTGATTATGCACAAGACTGTGTAACAGTTAAACACCGCCTGAGACATTGTTTAACATTTTCTAAGGCATTACGTTTTTCTACTTATTTGTATCAAACAACTCCAGACATGGGTGGGCTACCCTTGTGTTTTTAGCATCCATCTATACTTCTTGTGCTCGTCTTTATCATTTTATTCAAAACACACTCTGGGTACCAGTGACCTTTCCTTGAGTAAATTCTGTAGCCTTAAAAAAAAAAAAAAAAGTTTTTCAATTCATCTTGAACTCTTTATGAACACAGAAGTAATCCTGGGACATGGCTGTCCCATTGTCCCAATTTGTGTTTTACTGTTTCCTTTCTTTCTCTCTCTCCTTTTTTTTTTAGAGATGAGGTCTTGCTCTGTTGCCCAGGCTAGAGTACAGTGGTGCAATCATAGCTCACTGTAGCCTCAAAATCTTGGGCTTCCTTTTTCTCTTTGTTTTGGTTGGGTAGTTGGGGTTCTAGTCCTGTCTTTGCCACTAAGATCCATATAATCTTGGGCAAGCCACTTTGTCTTACTGGGGCACAAATAATGGGTGTGAAAGCACTCTGTAAATTGCAAACCATTAAAAAGTAATAATATTTATTGAACCAGATGATCTATTTCCCTCAAGGTCTAAAATTTTTATTCTATACTTCTGATATAGTTTTAGTGAATTCATCTGGTCTAGGAGCCAGGAATTGCTATTTGGTACATTGAAAAGACTCCTTCCATTACACCAAAGCTGCTGCTGATTCAGTAAGTACAGAATGATTTGTAATTCTAAAATAGCAGCACCAAAAACGGATTATTCTTCAATCGCTTAGGCTGTAAGTTACTGCAAATGATATTTGACTTCAAGGAGAAGCCTGAGTCATAGCCAACATCTAGAATTTTCATTTTCTACAGTAAAAAAAATTTGCTCTTCTTAAATCTAATAAACTTAAATCTTAAGATGGATCCAATTGAAATCACATTTGAAAAGGCTATAGCCGTTCATATAGCATTTTAGTACATTTTGCAGGACATTGTCAATGCTAGACTAGTGACTACCACAGGCAGGAAACAAACGAGAACTCACACCAAATATATACATAAAATCATAGAATCTCAGAGTTGGAGGGTTTCTAAAAGTCATTTAGACAAGTGAGTCCCAGACTGTGGGATTTCACGGATTTACGAAAGTTCTAAAATAAAGGGGGTGACGTGGTCAGACATAGAAGTGTCAACTTTTTATTTTGCCAAATACTGATACTATACTAAATAACAGAATAACCGTCTACCATCAGCACTATTTTATAAAAGGGCATTTTAATGATATATGTAGGAAGTTAAAATCTCAGAATAAAATACAATGTGAAATCAGATATATAAATGAAAAATGCATTATATTGCTCTTATTTCTTTTCTTTTTTTTGAGACAGAGTCTCACTCCGCCACCTGGGCTAGGATGCCGTGGCATCAGCCTAGCTCACAGCAACCTCAAACTCCTGGATTCAAGCAATCCTCCTGCCTCAGCCTACCGATTAGCTGGGACTACAGGCTTATGCCACCACACCCGGCTAATTTTTTCTATTTTTAGTAGAGATAGGGATCTCTAACTCCTGACCTCAAGCAATCCTCCTGCCTCAGCCTCCTAGAGTGCTAGGATTACACGCGTGAGACACCACACCCGGCCTTATTTTTTTAACTTCTTTACGGAAAACTATTTTAGAGACTTGCCCCAATGCCTACACAGACTTTTGGGAATCACTAATTTAGTTCACTATATGTCCATCCCTACCCACCCCCCGAATTAAGCATTCGTATCACTACACCCAAAAATCCCTTTATAGGTATACCCCACCCACTTATGGGGAACTCCTCAAGATGAGGAATCCATTAAATTTAGGGTGACTGTGATAGAAAATCAGCAGAATAGTAGCAATGCCTGGAACACTCAAGATGCTTAAACTTGGCTTTAAAAAAAGAAAATTGTAGACCAGAATCTAACAGCAGAGGCTTTTAAGTTGAGCAAAACATGCCTTAGAGTCATCAAAGGAGAATGATGTCCAATCGTGCTGATTTGAGAGTTAGGTTCCCTGGATTCTGCTTGTGCCTCCAAAAACTTTGTACTAAACCTTAGGGAAAGTCTCTTGCTGTGTTCAGTCAAGGTATCTTCCAGGATGAATCCTATTACAAATCGCGTGATCAACTTTCAAACTTGCAGTTAAAACTCTTTACAGTTTTTCTATTTCTATTTTAATGAACTTATTTAGGGTGGATTTTGTTCAAATTTTTACAACTGAGGTTTGACTCAAATTACAGATGATAGCATCGACCATCGAGTTTTCTTTTGTGAACATTATTACTAAACCCAACTTCGCCAGGTCAAATTCTGTAAAGTAAAATGTGGTAAAGATTTGATTCTTTAATCAATTTTTAGCAAAAAAAATTTACCGTGTAAAGTTCAAAACGTTGTTAATTTTGTTTTGTAAGTTACTTCTACCCTGTTTGGGTCAATACTGCTTCTTTCAACATGACCAAAATATGATTGTTCGTTGGCTTTTGCGGGGAGCTGTAACAACTTTTACTACGTGGTTTTTTCACTGTTGCCAACTTTATTTTCTGGTGATTCCATCTATCACTAATATGCATTGTGAATCAGATATTAAGTTTCTTCTTGAAGATCAAATGTATGCGTGGGGCAACAATGCAAAGACAGCGGGCAACGGTGTAATTCTTGTTTCCTCCTCTTGTAAAAAAGAGGATCTCCACTACTCTGTAGGATGCAGAAATCTGCTAGGCTCTGCTAAAACCGAGAGGCCTGAAAGAGTCCCTCAAAACCAGCCGGTCCTGGGCTGCTTTTCTCTTCCTTTCCACCAGAGGCGATAGGCTCTTTCCAAACTGATCTGGAATAGGCCGGTCCCGGGGAGTGGCCTGAAAAAACATCAAAGATTAAAAATCACCTCAAACAAAGAACAAAGGTCAATACCCAACATCCGAGGAAGCCTGAAGCTTCCATCTGCCACGAAAAACAAAGGTGACTCCTCCCTAACATTCTCTCGGGGCCCGCGGCCGCTCAGTCATACAGAGACTGGGCAGGTCTGAGGTGAGTAAAGCGTGAGCACCGCTGCCGACCGGAAGTGGAAGAAAGCCCGGGGCGGGGTGAGGACAGGCCAAGGCACGCCTGCGCAGTCAGCAGGGGTTGCAACGCTCATGCGCAGTTGGGCGGAGAAGAGGTGACGCTCGGAGCGTGGGCCACCACTCTCACGGATCCGGTTCCGCCCTCCCTCTAGCTGCTGATCTTTGCGGGCTAGCGCTCGAGATCCCTTTCCCAGAGTCCTCTGCGCCGTGAAGAAGCGGCTCCCGGGGACTGGGGGCATTTTGTGTTGGCTGGAGCTGGAGTAACAAGATGGCGGCGTCAGCGGAGTGACAGGGGTCCCTCCGGGCCGGAGCCGGCGGCAGTGGTGGCAGTGGTATCGCCGCCCTAGCTCACCGCGCCCCTTTTCCAGCCCACAACGTCGCCGCGAAGGCGAGGCAGCGGCGGCCGCCCAGAAACAAGTGGCCCAGCCTGGTAACCGCGAGAACCCCTTACAAACTGCGGCCTGGCAAAAAGAAACCCGACTGAGCGGTTGTAATCAGGTTCCCCTAGACTGATTCTGGGCCCTATAGCGCCGGGAAGGGCCTCCGCGTTCCGTTTCCTGCCGCCCTCCTCCGCAGCCTTGCCCCGTGGAGGAGCCCCAGAGGCCTCCATCCTCCCCTCAGAGGTGTCGGGGCTTGGCCCCAGCCTCCATCTTCGTCTCCCAGGATGGCGAGCAGCAGCGGCTCCAAGGCCGAATTCATTGTCGGAGGGAAATACAAACTGGTACGGAAGATCGGGTCTGGCTCCTTCGGGGACATTTATCTGGCGATCAACATCACCAACGGCGAGGTAATCACCGGGGTTGGGGGAGGGGGTTCACCATAACGTTGCGCCCGTCCTCACTCCCCCAGCCCCCAAGCTGCTCGGACCTCTTGCCACCGCGCACGCACGCACTGGGGAGTCCAGAGAGCCAGTCTTCCTGGCTTAGGAACCTCCCCCGCTCTCTTGCCCTAAAAGGGAAAGAACTCAATGGAAAGGTTGGGTGTACTCGTTTCCCAGCTCGTTAAACATGTCCCGTCAATGTCCTTTTGTCGAAGTTTTTTTTAACTGTCGTTTAAGGTGGAAACAGCAAAATCCTATTTCTGTGATTTCCCATGTTTTTACTTTTTTAATATTGAATTCCACTGGGGTTCTTGTTCCAATTAGGGCAGTTTCCGATCACCTAGTTCCTTAAAACCTCTCATTAGCGTTCAGAGGTTGTTTCTTTTCTTTGGATGAATAATTTTCCTGCACTTTAGAGGACGTACCGATTTCGTCACTACCCCCTGAAGAGGCCTTTGAGGCTGCTTGCCTCGTTTTATAATTACAAAGAGAGCTTCCTCTTCCCAGCCTTTCTCTTCTCGCAGTCGCGACCTGGAGCTTTGTTAATATCGCCCTCCTTTCCCAAGTGACATTGAATCCTTAGGGATGTTGATGCCATCATCCCCTCTTTCCCCCTGCAGGAAGTGGCAGTGAAGCTAGAATCTCAGAAGGCCAGGCATCCCCAGTTGCTGTACGAGAGCAAACTCTATAAGATTCTTCAAGGTGGGGTTGGCATCCCCCACATACGGTAAGAACCCATAAGCATATAGGCAATCCGCTGAGGGAAGAGTGGAATGGGGAAATGGGTAGAGGCAGGTAATGGGACCTGCTGAATCCGGGTCTTGGTATTTGAGTTACCCGGGTTCCCTGTAACTGGTGGTTTCCTGTGAACCCTGAGTTCCTGCGATCGCTGAGTAAATTTTAGTTTGCCAACTTAGTTTACAATTTCAGTTTATTACACTCTGCTCCATTTAGCTTCCGTCATTCTTCCTCTTCCCGAGGCTTTCCTTTGCAGTAAAGTATGCAGGTCATCTTTGGTCCCTACGCGGAAAGGCTGGCTGCTGTTTTCCTTACGGCAGCACCTCTGATGTTTTTGGGTTTGTCCAGTGAAGTGGATTTGAAGGTGCCGAAGTGACCGGGCTCAGCCAGTTCGGGTTGCTATTGGAGCTGGCTTGGGAAATGGCTGCTCTTTTGTTGTGTTTTTGTTCCAACATGTCTTCCTCCTCCGCTTAGAAAATGGCGGAACGACGTGACTCAACCCCATATTCCTGCCCTTTTCTCAGGGTTCACAAATTATGCTTCTTTGATTCCTCCTTTAGTAGCCTTGAGTGGATTAAACCTTTGAAAACCCAAGAATAAAGCTGCAGGAGGCGGTGGGGTTCTAGGAAGGAGATGGCATAATGACAGTATCTTTGTGATCTCTGCAGCAGATGCGACAAGAAATTGTTAAGTTATACTATGTAAAATCCTTCCTATTCCTCTTAAAGGTGTTAATTACTGTAAGCTTTTATTATTTGTAATGTTTGGTACAGTTCGGTCTGTACTAAATTTTTATAGGTAATGACAAAGGCAGTTTGAATGGCACCAAGTATGTTGAAATTTACTGAGTATCAGTTGTATTAAAAGAAAGCTTAATCACTTAACCACAGTTTCATAAGTAATTTAACCTGTTGAGTTATTTTGTCAGTAAAACTTCACATCAGGGAAATTATAGCCTCTTTTGAAATGCAACATTGGCAAATGCAAGTAGTAATAGTAATCAGGATAAAAGATGACCAGATAAAGACATTATGTTCTCTCAAATGGTTGACTTTTTAATTTTTTGATTTCTGAGATTAAAGAGCTTCTTAGAACAGAGACTAAAATATAGTTTAAAACCCAGCCATTTTCCAAAAATACTCAGAAATAACATTTGCAGAAAAGATTCAGAATAGTTAAGAATTGAATGGTATTTACTGTAGCTTCTTTTTCTACTACAGTTTGTAATTTTCAAATCTCGAATTAAGAACTGGATTGCATACATTAGTTCTGATGTGGAGACAGCCAAAATAAAACTATCTTTTAAAAAAATTACAATGTTGGTAGACATTTTTAATGGAGAAGTAGAATGATAAAATGTACAGTTGGTCATAAGTGATCAAGTAAATGTTTTGGAAGAAAATTCCAAATTTATGAAGTAAAGATTAATGTGAAATCTGAGAAGATCCAGATTTGGGATATTAAATGATTCCCATCCCTTAAAAAAATCCCTACTGTGTGTGGATTTGATTTCCATTGCTATCATTTTTCCTAGACTTTCATATAATGGAGTCATACACTATGAGGTCATTTGTGTCTGGCATCTTTCAGTTACCATAATGTTTTTGAGATTCATCCATGTTGGGAGATTTTATAGATTTCACAAATCAGGTGGAATTTAATGTATTTGAAATCATTTCCAAAAAGCATTAAGCATCTGCCATTTTCAGTATTAAACCCAAGTTAAGTACATGCCCTTTTATCTGGTAGCTTTTATTTAAGACCTGATACACACCAATAAGGGCAATGAGTAATATACTGAGTAAGCACATGAATAAATGAAATTAACTGGGAGGTAGAATAATAGGTGCCTATTATAAGATAGTGAATGCAGAGAGAGTTATGGTAGTTAGAAGCTGTCTGGGTGGGGCTGAAGAGATTAACCTGGCTTTCAGATTAAGGCTTCCTGGGAGAGGAGATGGGATTTCAGGATCTGGCTCTAAGGAAAAAGCTTGGAGAACTGGTTGGGTAGGGCATCCAAGAATAGAGTGTGGCTTTGGGGTGTAGTCTTTAAGGCAGAATATAGTAATTGAATGAGGGTGGGGAAAGGGTAAATTTGTTTTAGGAGTGGTAGGGTCAGGTACATAGAAACAAAAATGGTTTATTGGTTTTTAGAGTAAAGTGTGGGAAAAAAGGTTTTTCCACTGAAGCTTAAAGGATAAGATAGATTAACATAAATGTTATTTGGATGGCAACATCTTTCAATCCTCTCAGTTCCCCACTATTTCTATATCACTTATAGGTAGCATATACTTAATATTTACTTGGTAAATATTGAATTAGGTTGGCTGTTTAGTTTTACCTAGGTTAAATAATGCAGTCTATGTGTTATTCATTGTTTTAGAAGTGTTGGCACTAATTTTGAAAGTTTAGATTTTGCTGCATTTACCCTTCATATACACATTTCCTCTCCACCCCTTCTCAAATTCAAATTTTCTATTAGGAAACTCTGAATAGAATTTGCTTTGAGATGCTTTGGGATATCCTAAAACAGGGCTGAAAATTACCTGGCCTACATAGCTGACCTGCCTTACCTATTAAGTAGGAGCATAGCATCCAGTATAAAAAGCAAGGACGGGAGAATAGCATCCAGTTTCTTGATATTTTAAGAAACTAAATGCTTGAACCTTGTGAATTGACATCTGGGAGCTCACTTAAAATTATAATTGATGCTTAAACAACAAAGGATCGAGGCACCAACTGACATCCACCCAGTTGAAAATTCATGTATAACTTTTGGCTCCCCCAAAACTTAACTACTAATAATAGCCTACTGTTGACCAGAAGCCTTACTAATAACATAAACAATAGATTAACATATATTTTGTATACTGTAGGTATTATGTACTGTATTCTTATAATAATGTAAGCTAGAGAAAAGAAAATGTTACTAAGAAAATCGTAAGGAAGAAAAAATATATTTAGTATTAAGTGACAGTAGATCATCATAAAGGTCTTCATCCTCCTCATCTTCACATTGAATAGGCTGAGGAAGTGGAGGGGTTGGCGGTGCTCTTTGAGGGGTGGGAGAGGTAGAGGAAAATCCACATGTAAATAGACACGCACAGTTCAAACTTGTGTTGCTCAAGGGTCAACTGTACTATTTCCATTACAGCCCTCCTTATCTTTGTGCCACTCTGAATTGAATTAAAATGTCCTCTAAAGAAACAATTATGATGTACTGGAAAGTTCTTAAGTAGATAGTAAAATGTTGGAGGTTTGAGCTCTAGATCTGCTATGTGATATTGGCTGGGTGATGTAGAGTCACTCAGTCCCTTAACCTCTATGGGTCTGTCAAGTTTCCTCATCTATTAAAAAAAAAAAAAAAAGGATTTTACTAAGTTAATTTTCTAGCTTGGTCGGGATAGGAAAGGAGAGTGCTGAACAGAAAGATTTAGGGCTTCCTACCCTTCTTTTACCAGAAGAATATTCATTTCCATTTGCTTTTGCATGCTGAGCATTTGGATAGGCTTTTGTTTGAACAAGGGTTCACTACTAAAGTCACTGAGGATAGTACGTAGAAAGCATTTCATCATTTTGACGATATAGCTAGATCTTACCTTTGAATGTTATTTTAGGAATGAAGTACCACAGAAGACTTTTAGAAATGTCCTCTCTCTCAGGTAAACTATAGAGTGACAAATCAGAAGAAAGTAAAATAATGAAATATACTTTTATAAGGAAATCATGTATAAAGAAGGTGAGACAAGAGCAAGGGAAATTTGAAGAGACCAAGTTGCCCTCTGTTGCCCAGGCTGGAGTGAAGTGGCTATTCATGGTGTGATCATAGTGTTCTGTAGCCTCAAACTCCTGGGCTCAAGCCATCCCCCTACCTCAGCCTCCCATGCAGCAGGGAACACAGGCCCGCCATACTTGGCTATCTAATTTTTTTTTTTTTGCTCTCTGAATGTCAAACATTCTAGAAGATATTTATAAAGTACTAGTTAATCCTTACTCTTCACTGTTAAAAGCAGCTTAAATATTAATCTTTTTGGCACTTGAGTGAATATCCTGTGAATAAGATTGTAATGGCTGTTGTCAGAGAACAAAGGTGGTAACTGCGCTACGTATATCTTCGTTAAGATAACTTACAGATCACTACTAGAGAAATGTGATTTTTAACTCAAAGGGTGACTGACTCCATGGTATACTAGAGATGCTTTATACTGGCTAATGGAGTAATGTAAATGCTAGTTAGCATGTTTGAGCTGGTTGAAACCTAAGAGATATATTCATACCAATTAAAATATTTGAATCTCAGGAGTTACTAGAGTCTCCTCACTCTGAGTCCTCCTGAGAGCCATTATCGCCTTTATGTCAAGGTCAAATCATACCTTTCCATTTGATGCTGGAGAGCTATACTTTGCCCCCTCACTTAATGGCATTTGGCCTTAGAGAAGCTGAAAAGCTTTTTTATAAGTGTAAGTAATCTATTATTTGTATATTTAACTAGATGCTTATAATTCAGGTTGTTATTCTTTTTGAATCCGTGGATTGCAAGATAAAAACTTTCGTTGGAAATTATTAATTTGGAGTAAATACTGGTGAGTCCATATAAAGTATATGGGTTTTACGTCTTTGGCTTTAGACATTTTTAGAGCTAGATCATTTGGTTTCAAAGTATATTTAAGCTGTACCTGAATATCATTAAGTGTTGGTTTTCTCATGATCTCTTAATGTTTAATAAAGAATTTTACCATCAAGAATTCTATTAAAAAAATTGAATTTGGAGCAAATGTTGTAAAATTAGTCCTTGAGTTTAACAGAAGTTTGTATGAGGTTATTTGAATACCTTTATAGCTTTCAATGAATGAGAACCATGTTAAAATGATGATTTTTTTTTGGTTACTATTACTGTTTCTAATGCAATCTCAGATGGCCCTTAAATTGTGAATGACCAGTATTAACATAGCATGGACTAATTAATGGATGTCTTAATAGAATTTTTAA